GCCCGTTCCTGTGTCGGGGACCCCGTTCGAGTGGGTGAGACCAACCCCGCACCGTTAGAGCCGTACGGCCTCGCTGCCGTCGTGTCTTCAACAGGCAGCGGTCAGCCTACGGTAAACATTGTACCAGGGCTCTCCTCCCTCTCATTACAACTCCCATACAAGTTGGCAATACGATGGATACCCTGTTGTATCATGAAGGGCATTTAGGATGTTGGTCTCACCCTCATGTTTGATTAATTAGTCGCTTCCCGAGCAAAGGTCTGATGGTGGGGCTAAGACAGGGGTCAGCAGATCTGCTGGTCTTCAGGCTGAAGGTTCAGCCCCAGAGGTGCTTGCAATAGCCCCGGGCCAGAACTAACCGCTATTTAAAGCGTCATTTACTAGCACCACTTAACCTGCTGGTGAAGGAAATGCGGCGGGTTTGTGGAAGGGAAGGAGGCAATGGCGGCGGGTTTGCGGAAGGAAAGGAGTCAATGCTTCCACCTAGGGCCCCGTTTGGAGCCAGCTGTAGGGGCAGGCCATAAGGCGCGCTTGCTCCGAGGAGCTGGCAGGAAAGTGTAGCATTACATTTCTGAAAGCATTGATTCACACGTTAGTAGGAACACAGTGCCACTTTAGGAAAGGTTATCAGAAATATGAAGATATTAAGTAATGTCAGACATGAACCAGCCACCTGGTTCACTTTCGTACATGCTAAATGTAATTTTTTCTGTCCCTGTCGCATAGGTATGGCTTGTAGCCCTCTTTCTGCTGGCAGAGTATTCTATGCAGGTTGACCTGTCCCAACACTCGCTTCCAAGAATAGAGATCATAATGTACTTTAAAAGAAGACAAAAAAGGGGGGCGGGGAGCACATGTGGGCCTACTATCCTAAGGCTCTGTTTGAGTCTGGCAAGGTAAGCTGGAAGTTGGTTTTATCCTTATGGCCAAAAGCAGAATACAATGGAAGTCTGCTCCAAGAAGAAAGAATTTACAGCTTTTATTAGGTCTTACAGATAACCACAGTATGCTTTTATCAGAACTCACTGTGTGGACCAAAAGAGATATACAGTTAATGTGAACATACTATATTACTAAACTAGTATTACCACAAAAATGAAAAAGACTTTTCCAGACCAGAAGACTACTTATATCTGGCTAATCTCAAGAGGTGTTTTAAATTGTTTACAAATAGTCTCATCATGTATCCTGCAGTTCTAGAGCTGAGGCACTACAGCTCAGGAATCAAAAATCTCACCCAAATTCCTAGTTTTATATATGCTATGACTAAAATTTTAAAAAAATCATTTCCAGACAACTTCAGTCTCAAATCTCTTAAGTCTCTTAAATTTGTCTTAAATCTCTGGATATCAAAAACTTCTAACATACTTGCTCCTGAGGATAATTAACCCCCTAATTATTTTTTTATGTATACCTGAAATATATTGATAATTTACAAACACGTCTCAGGGTTACATGATTGGTAAGTAAACAAGTCTTTGGTAAATAATAACTACTCTGTTCTTTACTCAGTTAAAAAACTTAATTAATTTTTAACTCTAGATTAACTTTTTTTAATAATTATTTCTATAATGAATAAGGCTCATATAGCACAAAGCTGAATAGGATGAATGGGTGTACGTAGCAAAACCTGAATGATGTTTTCAGGTTACAAGTTCTGCTTCCTGCTCTGGCTCATTTTCTTTTTGCGCCCTTCAGCCAGGCCCAGGAAGCTGAATCTGAATGAGAACTTTCTAATGAATTAGATTTCCAACATTTCAAGGCGTTAGCAACCTAGAAAAATCCTGCCCATTGCAAGGATACATTCTACAGTAGGTACTGGACTGTATGCTAAAAACTACAACAAACCAATTAGTTTCAGTTGAAATAATACATTATAGCTGCAATATTTCCTAAGAATGTCTGCTTTACCACTTGTGCAGTAAAGCAGAAAAACTATGCACTATGCATGCTTGTGCGAGTTGAAGGTGACTGCTTGCTCCCAAAGGAAACCTAAAGGCACAGAACATAGGTAATGTGAATGACAATCTGGTAACAAACGCCAGCTTCCCTTTTATTACAAGAATCCAGTTAGAAACTGAATGCCTAAACTGACATTTTTACTGTTTGTGTACTAGATGCCTTCACTTTGGCTAAAAAATACTATACCATGTCCTTTAAGAAAAATAGCAGCATTAAATAGATCTTGTAATTTCTGAGAAGAAATAAGATGATGTCTGCTTTAGGTTTGGCTTACAGAGTTTTGGGGATTATTTTAAACATGTCCAAGAAATTATCAGATTATTTTCAATGACTGTTGCAGCTTTACTGTTCTACTACAGTTTTTTAATCATCTTCCTTGTTAAAGGATCGATTACATTTGAGACAGTAAATAGTATACTTTACAATAAATAATATTCAAGTCAACGTATTGTACTTACAAAATAATGTAACACTGTAATAGGATCTTCAAGATCAATTCCATTTTATATATTCTGCAGCAAAAATAACATTTCTAGTAGGAAGGAAATACTTATAAACCTAGCAAGAGCTACACATTCACATGTGTGTGTAAACAACTTAACGAGGTTTATTATGTTTCCAGAAAAGCTATGCTTTTACAGTAGGTTTTCAGCTAAATGTTATTGTAATATGGGAGTAAATATATAACAGTGCTTATATTTAGCTCCATCACAAATTTTAATTTGAAAAAAAAAAAATTGAGTGCCATTATTTACAAAGAAGAGCAACTTTCCTTTTCTTCACAAGTGACTGTATCTGTGTGTGAACAAAATGTTAGGGCGAGGCATTCCAGACGAACTGCAGCTAAGGTTGGACGAGGATGATTTTATGATGAACAGTGAAGGTCCTGGCAATAAATACCTAGAAAGGAGATGAAAAACATAGCAGAGTTTACAGGCAAAGTGACATTGAAGAGCAAAAGAATTAGTTGCTCATGCGCCATACCTTAACATCATTGTATGCAAGAAAATATGTACAATAAATTCTATTTATAAAACACACAGGGCATTAGGCACTAGCTAACTCAGGAAACAGATCTAAACTCAGAGAAACTCTTAGCAAAATTTCAAGATGTTGTATGAGGATCAAACATCTTTCCAGTCCTTTATGTTTAAAGCCAGCAGATAAATGAAAAAATGGCATCCTGTGTAACACTACTACCAAAACTTAATACTTCACCCATTGTTCTCTCTTATTATATTACTATTTATTCGGTTTAAACTGGGTAAAACCCGCAATTGATATTAACCAGGTTAAAAAAAGTTGCATTGTAAAAAAAGTTGATTAGGAAAAAACCAGAAATTTTTAGTCTTGTTTCCAGCTCTAATCGTCTAAAAATAGATGTGCTATCATCACTACTCTAGTAAAGCAAGAGCCAATGATGCTACAACCTAGTAATCACATCAGTGACTATTTACCTTTTAAATTCAGGCAACTATATAGCCTGTATTTTATGTAATATTACAAACAATAATTTATCATATGCCTAATATTCATTCTTAAATCTTTTCATGTTATCATTTCCTAATAGTTAATTGCAGAAGTCATTAGATGAGTACAGTAAGTGTGCAAAAATGACATCCACACTAAATCAGAATTTCATAATGAATTATGTCAATGTTAGGATGGATTAACACAACACATTGTATAAATTATTGCTTAAAAATTGTTGCATCATTCTAGTGAATCATACTGATTAATGATGAATAAATTAAAAGGCTGATCCTAGTAATCACATGGATAGAAACAGCATCACACTGTCAATGGGAGACAATCTGTATAAGAAAGTCTGCACATTTGGTTTGTTTAAGCTTTGAGAAGAGCTGTTATAAAAATATTATCACCAATATATTTTTTAAACAATTTACAAAAAAATAAAGTCTGATTTGGTATGGGTTGGTGGTGAGTTTGACAGTTCGCTACGTCACCTGAGTCCTACACCTTTGCTTGACGATACAGTAAAAAACTCTAATGCTTCCCAGAGAATGTGCCATCTAATAGATAAGATTATTTAGCAAGATGTAAGGATCTAGCAGTAGATGGCTTTTTTTTTTTAATTTTATAATATAGGTGAATTTATCAAAATATGAAAAGTCTGACTTTTTACATAGTTTGATTTTAGCTATTCTTTTAAAGAGATTTTGCTATAGTTTTTGAGCTCTCCTATTGTTTTCTTTACACTTTTAATTTTGTGAGGAAAAAAATGACATTAATACACTTTTACATTAATATTCCTATTCATTCTCTTCATGGATTTACAGTTAGTAAATGGGATTGAGAACAAATTTGAAAAGTGAAAAGAACAACTCTGTGGCTGCTTTCATTATGTTTTTCTCTCTCCCTGCACAAATAAATTTGCCCAGCTAAAGAGATACCTATTTGTAATCTTTGAAAGCTTTAGTTTCACAAACATTTGTTTCATAAACACAAAGAAAAAAATTGGTTTGTGCTCAGAAAAAACAAAGTTCTTCAAATCAGATTTTATAAAGTCTCAAAAAAAATGACTTCTTGTACGTTTATTAAATTGTACTCTGATCTCTTCTTGCACTTCACACAATTTTACAGTCAAGAAAACTATTATTAGTAGTGCAGCTTCTTACATCATTTAAAAACAGAAACCTAGATGAAAAGTGAAACAGTATTGTGGTTCTCCCGTTTCTAGCAAAATAGTTCATTACCTTACAATTGTGGCGCATAATGGGCAAGAGCATTTCTTTCCATATGTATCTTTCATTTCACAAATTCAGAATATCATGGTTAACTAGCATATTGCTGTATCCGCAGTATAGATGTAACATTTGTGGAGATTAATATAAAACCTCTAGCTTTAATCATCAGAGTTGTCATGACACTCCATTGCTGAAGTCATACTGATATTTAGGATATAGAGGGTTTAGGTTCCTCTAGCCTGTGAAGTTTATGAATAAACTTCCATTCAGCGTCCAACAAAACACAGAAACTGGAGATGAGAACGTTCCATGGACCATCCCTTTCACTGCTTTCCAAATGCCAGCCTGTTAGCTGCAGTACATTAGAGTAATCCGATCAGTTTGAATAGTTTGTGGTTTGTCATGATGAAAAATTTTCTGTAGTATTAACAGTAAAAGCAATAAAAACTTCAAGGTTGAAGATTTTCTAGTCTTAGCTAATCCAGATGACTTTACCATACTCCTGCTATAGCTTGGTAGATGTTAATATCAAATATGATTTGTTTTGTGGCTAACATACTTCTACTTTCTCTGTGACCAAACAAATTCAGTTTCTGGTTGGTTTTAAATTATGTTAGAGTGCCTTAAGATCCACATGACAATAACAAATGGGTTCAGTGTATCAAATAACTAGTCTGAGATATAGCAAGTAAGCAATTAAGTCATAAAATAAGTTTAACAGATAATATATCAAAGGTTTGCTTTTCACATAACATTTAACTCATAAAGCCCTTCTATGAAATAATGTCTGTAAGATGTTTTATATAAACAAAGCATTTGTAAGTTTATATACATAATAATTCAAATTGCTATTATGGATAGAATTTGGAATCTAAGTAATTTGAAACTTACATTTAATTCTCCACCTACGACTGTTAAATTGCAGATCGTTGGCTGTCACATTTGGACCGTTTTCAGTAATCCCTATACTGACAATATTATAATCCCTATTGTATCCAGTTGGAGAACTAAACCAGCCAATGGAGAATCGGGTAAGTGCCAAATAATTTTTTACTATATGATGCTGTTTTGCAAGGTTTGAAAAAAATATTTATACTCTGTAAGATAAAATAATGAAACATTCAATCTGTAGGTTTTGGAAATCAACTTTGCAAAACTGTGCAATACAGTAAATCAGATGGCACTTACCTGACCTGGCTGGAGCTGTGCCCCTATAGCATCCCACTGCGAATGTGAAGCCAGAAGTATCATACATGTTAGGATACCTCTAGGAATGCAAATCTGGAATCAGGGACTTTGAGGGATCTGAGAAGGGGAAGAAAGGAAATTTTCAGTTCACTTTATGGAAAGCCTTTGCTGCAGCTCCTTGGGCAGTAGGCAACCAAGACTTTAGTAAGCGTAGATTCACACAAAATGTGTATATCTAGTCGTCTTTTAGCAGCATTTCATGGGTGGGCTAGAGAGATTAGAACAATAGCAACTCAGGATCAAGGGAAATGTTGGGAGTTTTGCCTTTTCGGTTTTTTAAATACATAGTGAACTAGGCTTAAAGAGGAGCATAGTGGTAGCAATGTAGACTGAAACTTGTTCCAATATTATCCTTTATACTTATTATAAGTTAGGAAGAGAATGTTGAAACGTATACCTTGTATCATCCCAGTGGGAGCTAATTCCAGTTGGGGATCCTCTTGAATCTGAAGAATATTTGTAAACCACCAGCAGGCAGTGTTTACAAAGCTGTACTATTCGTTGGCAACACTGGAGTTGCTCAGGAGTCACCACCTCTGTGCTTTTATTGAATATGGTTTCCCACGAGCTCCTGTTACGGAAAAAGACACAACTTCAGGTTTTCTGTCACAAATTGCAGTCTGAGAGCTTCGCTGCTTTATATCAGATTTAACAATAGAGGAACAAGAAAAAAAAGCATGACCTTGCCTGTTCACAGGAAAGTTCTATACTATTTAACACAAATGCTGGCAGATGCTGAGTACAAAACACAAATTAAGAAGTTAATCTTCATATGTGAAATGTCCACAGCCATTTTTCACTTGGTTTGTTCCCTAAAGCATTTATAGGGCCATTACTTAGGTTTAGCACATAAAGATTTACTGTCACATAATTGTATATGTGTCTTACAACAGGAATAACAAAACCCACTTATTATTTTTAACAGGCTACCACCTGAATGTGATATTAAAGGAACAAATAAAAATAATAAATTATTTCTAAATGTCTACACAGCATAATAATACTTTTTTTCTAATTTAAGTACGTGATACTAAGAAACAAATATGAAATTAATTTACAGGAGATTAATATGTGCTCTGCTTCCTTATCCAAATAATCATACGAGGAGAGTTTCTCAGTTTAGTCATTCAAATACTACTTATTATTCCATCTGGTCATATGGGGTTAGTCTTCTACAATTAAGTGCAACTTGCAAAGCATATCTTTAGAAGCATTCCTTCCTTTTCGAAATGCAGACCATCATGCTTTTGTTTTCTTAGAAAGCCATTTCTCTTTCTAAAAAATCCAAACCCTACCATACCAATGTAAACCAGGTATGTTTCACCACAGAGGATGACAATAGTTCTTTGCATACACCTCAACACTTCTGTTTGTGCAAAATTCTGAACAGAGTACAGATCATTACACCTGTTTTAAAGGCAACATGGTCCCTGTGAAGACTGTGTTTTTGTCAAAACATTATCCAGTAGCACAGATGGTTTGTAAGCTTGAGGGTTTTTGTTTGTTTATGAAAGAAGCACTTCATAGGGAGAGGAAAATTTGCTGCATCTGGCTTCAGCATAACATCCAGCATGATTCAGCCTTGTTGCAGTAGATTTCACTTCCCTGGTGTAGGAAGTTTCCTTAAAACAACATCCAAGAACGGGCAAGTTTACTTCTGCCTAGTGAGATTTTTTAAATTATGCTGTATTAGGATGGAATTATGAACATTAATGACTAAGAGATATGCTATATGTATGGCTAACTGAGTTTTCAGCCTGACTCCTCAGTCTAGATGAAATGTTCCAGCTGAAACTGTTCAGTGCTACAGAATTTCCACTGCACAAATAATTTTCAAGTGATGCAAGCATTTCTCATTAATTATTATCCATATATAATGAATTGTTTAAAAAATATTGTTTATAAGGCATCAGAACTGTTTCATTTCATAAAGAGAATAATTCTACTACTCAAAGAGCTACTATTTTATTTAATATATTTTTCTCAGTAATGTTTCCTGTCTGGGAACTTTCCACATGTATTTTACATGGAAATTAATCTATTGTCTTCATTCTTTCCTCATGAAGTCATGTGACGGTTGGTAGAAAGCAACAAGATGAAGTTCTAAGTATTACATTCGTTCAACAGATTCACAGTGCTACACATAATTATATTCTAATTCAATCCATAAATCTCCAAAATCCTGTGGAAGAAACTCTCCTGATAAATTCGATAAGTTCTGGGCTTTGAGGTCTGTGATCACTTTCCTACAGTTATGAGGGGTTTTATCAGTGAAGAATAATACGTGGCCTGCTATAACTATGGCCGATTATGAACACAGTGGTATACAGGTACCCTAATAACAAAGATTGACATTTGGAAATATATATGTAAACTTTAATGAGCTTTCATATAAATGTGCCTGTGCAACCTCTTCCATATGCTACACAGATTCAACTCACACTCCATTATACTGCAGTCAACAGGGATCAGGGTACTGTTACCTAAGGAAGCCTAATTTGTTATGCTGTAACTTTAGTTTCCATACATTGGTAAGAAATCATGGAGTCCTCACCAGATCCAGAAGACAGTATTATGCTTGATTGTGCAAGATTGTCAATTATGTGGTATTCTTTTTATAACCATCTGAAGTCAACTGGTTCTATCAGTTTTCTCTTATTAATTTTAATTGTTTATTCTACAGTAAAACAAACGTAGCTTTACGAAACCACTACATCGTGGTTATTTCACTGAGGTGGTTTCTTTGTTCATTGTTTTTGCTACAATGGCATATGCCTAGCAGACATCTAACCAGCAAGAGGAAACCTTAAGGCTAGTAGCTCTGTTCTTCTCCCAAGACATGTATCTTACAAATAGTCAAAGTACTATACTCAGTATATGTTCATATACTCACGTTGTTTCTGAATTAGCACATTAATACCCCTTCCCAACATGCTCCCCAAATTCTACACATGCCCTATGTTTATTCCAATCTGTTCTTTAAAGGGGCACAATGAACTCTAAGAAAGAGTGATGAAAAGTTGGCCTTTCTGCTACAGAGGTGCTGTCATGAGTTGCCTGTTGGGTATTACATGGCAAGAAGGATGCTTGTGACTGAATAAACAACGTGCTTGGAAAGTACACACAGCCTTTCTGTTTTCTTCTGTGAATTCTCTATTAAGTAGACTTTGGGCAACGTGGTCTAGTGGAGGGTGTCCCTGCCTGCAGCACGGGGGTTGGAACTAGATGATCTTTAAGGTCCCTTCCGACCCCAAAAAATAAGATAAAATAAAAAAGTATATTACATGCAGAGTGATCTCTACACACACTGGATATTTGTATATTACTTATTACAGTGTTTTCAGAATTTTTTATATAGCAACTCCTCTTACAAGGAACTGGATCTTTGTCAAAGAATTTAGCTCCACTTTTGAGTCAGCAGAGTCTTGTTCTACATGAATTAAATTATTGCTGGATGAGAAATCCTACTCTTCATTGAAGTCTTCTGCTGGCTAAAGACTCTTCTGAGCCAAGTGAGTAGCAGAGTTCTTCAAAGGTTTTGAACAAAAAACACGCTTTGTAGAGAAAAAACAATCCAAAATGAAAATTTTCATGCATATTAGAAGATTTGCACACTAAAAGTAAAATTCAAAATAATAACAGCATTATTAAAAGGAAAGGTAATTATTATATTTTATGAAAACAAAAATTGAGCTTAGACTGAAGATTTCACACAGCTCTGCTGACATGAAGAAGGAACCCCGTGGCTGCTGAGGATTATACAAAAAATGTTTCAGGCTGGAAAAACACGAACATTTTCTCACCCTACTTTAACTTTTAGAGTGTGCTGCATTCCCAAATACCTACCAAATCTTAAGGCTGACATCTGCATGTTCCCATGGCCTGTCTCAGTGAAAAAAATGTGAAGACTCCTAATGACTTGCACAACAGCAAACCTTCAGCAATGAGAAGATAATGGTAAAAAACCCAAAAAACTGATGACCTTTTGATACTCTGAGATCCTTCCTCTTCTTGTTATCCATTT